CTAAACAAATATATAAACAAATATGCAGCGCTAAAAGATAATAACGTGATTTAGTGCAGGCGCTATGGGTGATTCTTCCATGCTGTGTAGCCAGTCGGCTCTCCAGCTGGCGGTTGCACTCGGAGTGCAATGCATACTAGCACAATAATGCCTTTACCTTGCAGGGGGAAAGCTTTTTTTTTTTTTTTTTAACTTTACTACTACTTTAATCTTATTAATCAATCTGTATCCAATTAGGTCCTTACACTACAATGTGTTTAGTAGATCTAAAGGGAATTGTACAATCAGATTGTAATATGTGCAATATCCGGGCCGGTTCTTGACGCAAAACCAGCTACTTGCGTCCACCCCCCCTCAAAAAAAAAAAAAAAATAGAACATTTCTAAAACAGTAGAAAATATTAAATCAACAAAACATGAAACTGCTACATTTCTTTTAATTTTCAAAAATAAGTGCCATAATATGCCACCAGCACCAATATTAAAGACAACAGTGTCACGGACAGATGGCAGTGGCAGGGTGACAGTTGTATTGAGTGGAGCAGTGTTTCTCAGCCTTTTTTCAGTCAAGGCACCCTTTAAAATTATGGACAGTCTTGAGGCACCCTTTAAAATTATGAACAGTCTTGAGGCACCTCATTCTAAAATGGGGTTACTCTAGACCGCCCACCCCATTCTAAAATGTGAAAAGCTATTCTAATAGTTTTATACGACATAACATCCACACATGTACGACACCCAACATTAGAGGTGATTTATTCTTCCAAAGCAAATATACTTTTGCACACTGAGTAGTGAGTAGTATTCTAGTATTTCTCTACTCACTCAGTTTTTATCCATCACTGAGCTAATGTGACTCCAGCACTGATGGAAAGGGGCAGGGAAGGGTCAAACTAGGAAGCCATGCAGGCAGCTGACATCCTCCTTATCAACTGATGATGTCATTGGTTGTCAGGATGCCGGCACCTAGAAGGTCGTAATAGTGCACAATGAAAGCCCGTGGCTTTGTTGTAACTTAAAGGCAGGCTTGTTCCACACGTTGGCTTGTATATAAGTTTTGGGCAATTTTTAGACATTTTGCCAAGGCACCACTGAAGAAACCTCAAAGCACCCCAGGGTACCTGGGCACCCTGGTTGAGAAAGGCTGGAGTGGAGGATGATGGATCCACACTCTGACAGATTCCAGAATGGAATTCCCCAGGCAATGGGGGGAGATAAAACGCTATGACAGCAGGCAGCTCAGCCCACACACAAAGAACACCTGAAGTAAGCGATCCCATACAGTGACAGATCAGACACAACACCACTGACACAAATCAGTAGGCCCAGCAGGCTCTAGAAGAGCAGGCCGGAGGATCATGATGATGTCATCACTCACTGACACATTGCACATGTGATGGATGGGCGGCCGGGTCACACTCACACAGACACGAGACATTAGAGTCAGACATTACCTTCCTTCGCAGGCGCAGCTACGCATCTGATGATGAATGGGAAGAGAAAGGCTGGAACTCCCATTGATCAGCAGACACCAGCCAACTTGCAGTGAGGGACTGAGTCTGAGAGGAACAGTGGAAGGAGCTGCAGATCAGCTGCTACACTGACCCCAGACTCCCAGCATCTTCCTCTGTCCTTTCTTCCTCCCTTCTGCTGCCCCTCCCCTCGGTTGAAGGATCATTCTTGGCGTGGCACATAGAGAGTGCCCGGTCTATGATATGTCCAGGTGCCCCTAGGTGGCAGTGCATCCTAGGCGGCTGCCTAGTTTGCCTAGTGGAAGCCCTTTGTGCAGTGAGCTTAGACCAGGAATGTAGGGGAAAAAAGGTGAGCACTGGCTGCTGGAGGAGTGGGGAAATGTGTATTACATCTTAATCCTCTACCCCTAGATTTAATGTACACTTTTTCACTGCAGTGCAGAGGGACCTCCACTGCAAGGGTGTTTATTTGTAATCCCATGTATTGTTAACAACATTCAAATTTAGAAATATTTTTTTACAGTTATTCCTATGGAGCATATGGTTAAACGCCAGTTTGTTGAAGACAGAGCTACCATATTGGATAATCTTCCAGTATCATGGAATGTAGCAGAGCCTGGACCTTATTACTGTGTTACATTAAAGATGTCCAGAATAAAGGATCTTGCTTTTGATTTTGAATTTGGATCTTTAGATTCCAGGTAGGTTTTGTGCAGTCCAACAAACAGTGATATTAAAGGCTTATGTTCCTTTGCACATAATGATGATGATTGATCATTAATAGTGTATGTGATAAAGAACATTACATAATTACACCACTCGTACCTCTTGTCTGTCAGGGGCCAGAACTTTTACAATATATTACTGCTGGTGAAATGCAGACTGTGCAGCTGGAAAGCCTTTGAAAAATTGGCTGCACACAGGTGACCTCAAGTTCCTTGACATGAGCACTACACCTCCTCTCTCCTACACCTACTCTCTCCTCATCCAGAAACCAACAAGAGAGCCATGACTAGATGCTGAGGCACTGTCAGACAATGGGAAGGATCTTTGAGTTTGGGAAGTTGAAGTTGGAGGGGCTCACTGGGTCCATCATCTTGTTGTGCTTGTACTTAAGAGTGAACCTGTGCTTTGCCCATGTAGGAAAAAGCAACAGATTAAAAGAGATTATACTCACCTGAGTGGATGCAGTATCAGTTCCCTGCTGCTTCTAAGACTGACAACTGAGCGATCAAAGACCACTGATCACTCAGCTCTCATTCTTCAGAGAGCAGAGAGTCGGTGACTTCAAAAGCTAAATTAATGGGCAATATGACCTTTCCCAAACACTAGCATATATGGTGGGTAACCAGTGGCATCATTGTTAGTACTGTTGTATGCATGTACAGTTGTGTTCAAAATAATAGCAGTCAGACATCACTAACCTGATCAATCACTGTTTTTGGTAGAAATTATATTCTGTGTAATTGAATCACTAATTGAAAGGGGCATGTTCAAAATAATAGCAGTGTGGAGTTCTATTAGTGAGGTAATTTCATTCTTTGAAAAACAGGTGGCAATTATTGCCCTATTTAAGGAAGGAAGGCAGCAAATGTTGTAAATGCTGGTTACAGTGCATTTCTCTCTGAAATTCTGAGGAAAATGGGTTGTTCCAGACATTGTTCAGAAGAACAGCTTTAAAAAGTGGCAACCAAAACCTGAAAAAGACGTGGAAGAAAAAACCTGAAAGACGTGGAAGAAAGCGAAAAACTACCATTCGAATGGATAAAAGAATAGCCAAAATGGCAAGGACTCAGCCAACAATCAGCTCCAGGAAGATCAAATAAGGTCTAAAGTTACCTGTGAGTACTGTTACAATTAGAAGACGCCTATGTGAAGCCAAGCTATCTGCAAAGAAGCCCCCGCAAAGTCTCACTGTTGAAAAAAAGACGTGCTGAAGAGGTTACAATTTGCCAAAGAGCACATTGACTGGCCTAAAGAGAAATGGCACAACATTTTGTGGACTGATGAAAGTAAGATTGTTCTTTTTGGGTCTAGTGGACGGAGACAGTTTGTCAGACGACCCCCAAACACTGAATTCAAGCCACAGTACACTGTGAAGACAGTGAAGCATGGTTGTGCAAGCATCATGATATGGGGATGTTTCTCATACTACGGTGTTGGGCCTATTTATCGCATACCAGGGATCATGGATCAGTTTGAATACATCAGAATACTTGAAGATGTCATGCTGCCTTATGCTGAAGAGGAAATGCCCTTGAAATGGGTGTACCAACAAGACAATGACCCCAAACACACCAGTAAACGTGCAACATCTTGGTTCCAGACCAACAAGATTGATGTTATGGAGTGGCCAGCCCAATCCCCGCATCTTAATCCAATAGAAAACTTGTGGGGTGACATAAAAAATGCAGTTTCTGAGGCAAAACCAAGAAATAGAGAAGAACTGTGGAATGCAGTCCAATCATCCTGGGCTGGAATACCTGCTCACAGGTGCCAGAAGTTGGTTGACTCCATGCAACACAGATGTACAGCAGTTCTCAGAAACAATGCTTATACAACTAAACATTAATTAAGTGATTCAAAGGAAAGCAAAATCTTCAAACATTTTTCAGTTTATATAGTGAATGTTTGAGTTTGTAAAGAAGAATACAAACACTGCTATTTTATTGAACAGTCTAATATTCACTGTTCTTCAATTTTTTAGAGGAACAAGACAAAGTTTATATATTTTTCTTCATGTTTTGATTTGGAATAGAATGTCTAGTGTTCCCAATTCATTTGTGTGTATGGAAATAAAAGCTATTAGAAGAATTTTGAGCTTTATTCACTTTTGTCAACACACTGCTATTATTTTGAACACAACTGTATGACTGCTGAGATGTGCATGCTCCAGTGCTGTTTCTCTTCCTCTTCCAGCATCCCCAATATGTTGTGAATTGTGAGGTTGAATCTTTCCAGCTGTTGGTCCCTTTGAGGGTGATAGGGGGATATTCTGGTCTTCTGAATGCCCAGCAGCTCTAGGAGTTGCCTGATGAGTTGGCTTTCAAAGTCTCTGCCCTGGACAGAGTGGGTTTGTTTCAGTAGCTTATAAAGAAAGAGGAACTTCTTCTAAGACCCCTGCCACTATGCATGCTCACTAGTCTTTTGTTGGGAAAGCCTGGGAGTAAGGGGTAAAATGGTCTATCACCAGGAGGACATTTCCTTTTCCGCTCATATCAGATTCCAGGTGCAAAAATCAATGCTCACCAACTCTATAGGTCCTTAAATTTGGAAGTGGCCCATTGGGGCAGCTCTAGAGGGCAACATTTTCCTCTGGATGCAGCGTATACAGGAGTGTCAGCACCAGGGTGGGACTGACCATTTGGAAACTCGGGCACTGCCCGAGGGCCCGGGGTCAGTAGGGGGCCCCATGAGATGCCCCTGGTACCTTTTTCATAGGCTTTTTTGAATTTGGGCAAGGACACAGGGGCCCCATGATCCCCTATTGCCCAGGGGCCCCATGAGTTGTCAGTTCACCCCTGGTCAGCACCTTTCAACTTCGTGCAGCATGCGTGGTCAGTGGAACTGGTTTCTCACTAACTTGAAAGTCCTTTTCAGTCCTAAGAGACATTGGTCATTGTGAAACTGAAAACAGTTTTCTATGTTTTTCCAGGAGAAACAATTGCAATATCTGATATTATCCTCTCCCTATGTCCAACACACTGAAGCACTTCGTCCCTGACAAGCATTACAGAACATCTTCCAGCTATGGGTTGGAGTACTAGTCAGGAATAGTCTTTCTGTTGAGGGTGCAAAAGTCAATGTATATCTATGAGGAACAGTTCTTCTGTGCTAATGCTAAGGGTTAGGCATAGAAATCCTTGGATAGCTCATGTTCTTTTCAGCTCCTCCAACTGCTCTCAGAGGTCTTCCAAATCATCAAGTGGAATCTGTCGATATCTTTCTTTAGACTGCTTGACTTTCTGAAGACAGATTTGGTGCTGGGCACTCTTGGCACACCCCACATAAAACATATTCTTGGAAAATAAATTCCGCCATCTCTACAGAATTAAGCTTTTGCTCTCTCCTTCAGTTCCAATGTGATTTGGGTGTTCTTCAGATAAAATTGTTCTACCAGAATCTTGTCTTCAGCTCACAACACCAAATCATATGTTGAGACAGGGGTAGCAGGATTCACTTGTCTTATCAGTAGTCTAGTCTATAACAATTAGAAGGTTGACAGGGATTCTTTCTTCCATTTGTTGCAAAGTCCTTGTGGATACTATTTAGCAGGTCAGCTCCACTCCAGTGTTCTTTCCCTATGTGTCAGCTTCAAGGAAAGAAATGGGCCTGGCTAGTCCCAGCTCAACTTAACCGAAGCCCCTAATTGCAAGTGGAGCTATCTTATTGGCTGAGTTTTGCATTTCAAATAGCTTCGAAGGCGGGTCCTCTTAAGCTGTCAGTGATACTGTGCTTTTTATGGGCCTCATAAATGTACCATTCATCAAAAGCATGTGTGGCCTGCTCCAGCCACTCTTTAAAGTCTTCCTCAATGGCAGGTTCTGGCTGGTGTTATGAAAAGGACCTCTCAGTAACCAGACCCAATGCATGCTAAACGACTCTTCTGGCACATTGCCATGGATTCTCCCAGGGTGATAATTAATTCAGGCCCTATCGTGGCTGTAGGCACTAGTACAGGAGCTCCTTCTGTTGGCATGGCCTGACTTGTGGTTTGGTGTTTAGCATTCTTGTTTGAACAAGTCAAGCCTCAATGTGGCTAGTCAGCTCTAAGCTAGCTTCCTGGAAATTGGTTGGAATTCCATACCCTCTGACACACCAAGACTGATGGAAAAGATGTTTATTTTGGCAGCATGTTTGGCAGAGTAAATAACAGTGACAATACCTGTAAATACAGCAAATAGTAGTTGAAATAATGACAATTTACAAAAAAGCACTCCAAACCTGGCTCAAAAAGATTATCCTTGCTTCTACCAGCAGTCATCAGGCTTGGGGGTTAGGCATTGTTCCTCAGGCTGAGTCTGCACCAGTTGCTGCCCCTTTTTCCTACTGTCCGGGAAATGAATGGGGTGCTCCTCCAGTAGCTGCAGGAGCAGCACTTTCAATGTCCTCTCTTCCCCTGTCCTCTCACTCTGCTAGACCACTTTGTAAAATAACAGCTGTAGAGAGGAATAGAAGCAGCTGCAGTATGTGTGGGTGGCTGTGTGGCAGCCCTGGGCCATGTGGCTGCAGTGTGAGTGGTGCCAAGGCCCAGGTTGCATGAGTTTGTGCTTCTAAAGAGGAGGTATTAAAGTGAACCAACGTTTTTTGCCCAGCCCAAACCCTTAGGTGCTAACTTTCTGTAAACCTTGTCTCCTGTCTCTACAAATATTATTATTGCATTTGTACATTGTGAGATTTACTGTAGCCATATGATTATGTTGCTAAAAAGTTGTATTTCTGAAATTTGGCCAATATATGATAAAATGGCATTTAAGCTTAATGTTCATATGGAAAATAATCTTACAATCACATTTCTTTCAGAGATAAGTTTCCAGTTACAGAGTTTCCTGAAAAGTAAGTTTTTATCCTGAGGCTCCATTCACACTGGGCATTTTAATAACGCTGGTAACGTTAGCTATGTAAAGTCACATTTAAAATGTGCGTTTTTCAGTGTTTTTAGCGGTTTTGTATTAGTGTTTAGCGGTGTTTTGTCGCTTTTTTTACGCGTTTTGCGTTTTCTAGGTTTTTTCTTTACCAAATAAATTTTTTTTTTAGTCAAAAAAAATGTCTAAAAACGCTGGTTTGCTGCGATTTACAGCAATTTATTGTGTTTTGCCCTGTTTTTCAGCGTTAGAGCGTTTTTACAGCTAAAAAACTCCTATAGATCCCACTAGTTCTGGGGTTTTTTTTCCAGCCAAAAAACATCCCTCCCAAAAAACGTTGATTACAGTCTATGTGTGCATGGACACATAGGATAACATGGTGTGGAGTTTACTGGCTGTAGAAAAAAAACGCCAAAAGCCAAAAACAGCAGCTATAAAAACGTCCACTGTGCATATAACCATTGGTATGCCATTACCACTAAGTAAACAAAAACAAATACTGTATGTTTGCACTCAAATGTTTAAATTGCTAGATTTATACAACTATATACAATATACAGTATAGCAGAATGTATGCAAGTCCTATGCAGCTTTCTGTGTTGTGAATGTTTACCAGTGGGCTGTACTTACATGAAACGTCTGGATATGTTTCCATATTGGTGAGACGATCATGTAGAACCCTATGATGCTGGTACAGATATCGGGATTACGAACCGTGATATAAAATATTTTTAAGATGTAAGAAAAATGCTAGCTGTATTGGAAAGTTCATTTAAGATTTTTAATGCACATACTGTAGAAATGGATTACAAGTTATGCAAATACATCAAAATCAGAGTTCTGCGTCAGTGCATTAAAGTTTGTTAGAATGCATGTTATTGGTTAACCACTCACCTTTATCTGTTTTCCTTATAATTCTACTGTCCTGTTTTAGTATTTATGTTGCATAATCTGATACGTTAACCACATAGTCAATTTTTGTTTTTTCTTGTTTCTTTTATTTTCTCGTGAACTTTTTTTTGAACATCCTGATTTAAGCCATGCTTGCACTTCCTGTTTTCCAGATTATTGTGCTCTTTCCAGCCAATATCTTGCTCCTTTGATTATTTGCTGTCCTTATCCTCATACCATTGGTTACTGACCTTTGCTTGTTCCCTGACTACACTTCTGCTTGATCCAAGCTGCAACAATTTGTTACAACCTTCGGCTTTTCCAGACTATGCTTCTGCTTGATCCAACCAATATTGTTGCTCCCTTTTATTTGTTCCACTGTCCTTATCCCAACACTGCAACCATTGTTACTGACCTTTGGCTTGTTCCCGATGACTACACTTCTGCTTGATCCCAAGCTGCAACAATTTGTTACCAACCTTTGGCTTGTTCCATGACTATGCTTCTGCTTGATCCCAACCTGCAACCATTGTTACCAACCTTTGGCTTGTTCCGCGATGATGATGCTTCTGCTTGATCCCAACCTGCAACCATTGTTACCAACCTTTGGCTTGTTCCGCGATGATGCTTCTGCTTGATTCCAACCTGCAACCATTGTTACCAACCTTTGGCTTGTTTACTGACTACACATCTGTTTTATACCAACCTGCAATTACTTGTTGCTGACCTTGGGCTTGTTTACTGACTACACTTCTGTTTGATTCCTACCTGCTATATCTGCTACTGGACCCTGGTTTGCTCACTTCCTGGTGGGGCAATCCTGAGGGCCGCAGCCTGGTACTAACACACAACAAAACCCATGCCCAGTCATCCACAATGGTGACCTTTTTGTATACCTAGCCTTCTGGTAGCTGGGAGCCTTTCTACTACTGTAGCTGCTGGTCTCCAATGATAACTGTCACAGCAACTGTGACAGTTATCATTCATGCTATGCCTTGAATGTAACTGTTTTGGACAAACCATTAAATCAGTGGGTTTAGTTCTGATTTAGGTGGTGCTATTAAATTTGCATGATGTGATTTGTCCGATGATTTTCCTTTTTGTCAGCATTAAGTGGTGAAGGGCAGTCCTCTAATGTCGGTCCTACTGAACTTTTGCCCGATTCCTGCTGAATTGTCTAAAATTTGATCTGTGGATGGCTCTGTTGGCACCACCCAGCTTGAAAACCTTCAATCTAAAAACTGAATGAGCCGAATGGAAAATTCTTTGGCAAGCAGTGACTGTTACTAATCAGATGCTGTCACTGTATGGGTATTCTAACAGCCACAGGAGCAGCAGATGTTTAAATACAATAGCCAGCAGGAAAGATTCCTCCATACACAATGTTTGGCATGGAAAGGGAAATCTATTGATTGCTTTAATTTGGCCTGCAGGTCGGAATGAGAGAAATATTGTCGTGTGTGGCTAACCTAAGCCCTAGAGCAGGCATCACTAAATGGTGGACCGGGGTCCGGACCCATGCAGTCCTGCCATTTAAGAGCCCTTTCTTCCCCCAGCTGTCTCATAGTCATCCTCACAGAGCTGACAGTGGGAGGCAGGACAGTTCTGGATGGAGTGTGGGAGCTGCCTGAGGTTAACAAGCAGGTGATTGGTTGCTAGGATGAAGGGCAGTCCTAGCAATCAATCACTGTCTCTGTAAGGCAGGACAGTAGGGTGGGGGTGAAGTTAAAGGGGCTAAGGACATTAGTGTGAAGGGGGGACTGAGGACAGTAATGTGGGGGCTAAAGACTGTGGTGTGTGAGGGCTGAGGACATTAAAGTAGGAGGGGCTGAGGACATTAATATGGGGGGAGCTGAGGACAGTAATGTGGGAGCTGAAGATAGTAATATGGGGGAGAGTCTGGGGACAGTAATGTGGGGGGATTATTTAAAAAGGGGCAGAGTAGTCTTCAGTGAAGGGGGCTGAGGACAGTACTGTTGCGGGGGGGGGGGGTGTTGTCAAGGAAGTGTGAGAACCCTACTGTGAAAGGGATGGAGGGGGGTGATGTAAAGGGGGAGCTGAGCACACAAATCAAGAGGGATCTTTCTGTGAATGAGGAGGGGACTGTGATGTGCAGTGGGGACTGAGGACACTGATATGAGAA